TCCAATTCGGGAGCTATTGGAGGATTATCTTTATATTTATCCTTCCTTACTTGAAATAAGACTTCAATCATATATTGAACTCTCTTTTCAACATTTGCTTCATGTAAAATTGCCCTAAAACGATCAAAAACATCATTATTCGCCTTTGGTGAAACTTCTGCCAAATGTGCTCCACATTCTCGAATAAACCCTACGGCGACTTCAACTGAATCACTTGTTGGACTCTCGAGAAGAAGCACAAGAATTTGTAGCGCAACAATTTCATGAGCTACAAGATGATTACATAAATGTGCGATAAATGTTGTTGTGGCATGACATGTTGTTTTATCATTTCTTCTATATGCTTTACGGAATTGAACAATCAACCTAGTAAGTACCAATTCTCCAACTTGTGGTAGTTTAGTGTTGATTATAGCGATTAATGCCGCATAAACCGGTGTAAATGGTGGTGAAGCAGCTTGTGCCTTCATTATTGATCTTGCAAAAAGTCCTCTACCGCGAATCAAATTTTCATTTATCAATTCAAAAACAATATTTTTGATGTTTGATGTATTAACCTAGAAAATAATATTGTTTTAGATGTTGTTTTAGAAATTGATTTAGGGTGTGAATTTAAATAATAAAATAATGGAATACTGATATTTACTTTGTTAATAAGTCCATTGATACTTTTTTTGAGGGCATCCCAGGTAATTCGTTGGTACTCTGCGCTTGATTTATCTGTAACTTTTTGCTGCAGTAATTTTAATCTAGAAGGTGGGATATAAACTCCACCACCTCTGGTATTAACCAGTACTTCTTGTTCAGTCTGAATTAGGGACATCTTTTTTTAAAGTTGATCTTAGAACTTGCGAAAATGAAAACGTATATCAATGGCGAAGTTTTAATTATATATAATCGTTACACCACATTTTACCCGGCAATTGATTTCCATCGGCCAATCACAGTGAATAAAAATTATGTCGGTATAAGATAACGTCTATATTATTGTCTGCACTTTGTTTTAAAGATGTCACATAATCGACGAGCCCGTAGAGCACCTCAGGAAGAGGAAGACGCCTCGAAGTTAAAATTTGGTGAAGGTATATATTATTAATATAAGTTTAAATTCATACTTAAATTAAACGCGAGTATTCAGATCCTTATTTAATCACGTAAATATTTAGATTTTGAAGGCGAAGAATTTTTATTCATTTCTGAAGTACATCTTTTACTGCAAAAAACACCCGAAAATCAAAAAAATACACCGTTAGTATCGTTCATTTTTCAAAGATCAAGAAAAATATTTAAAATCAACGCAAATCTCTTAAAAATTAGTTATTTCCGGGCCATTTTTAACTTTGTATCGTGAAATTTTAGCGTATATCAAAAAACTGCAAAATATGTCGAATTGTTTACCAAGTTTCATAACGAAGAATCAGTACGGGAAATACGAAAGTATATATATATATATATATTAATTTTTTTTTTTTGAAAGTTGTTTTATCTCAACTACTTGGTGATTTGATGTTTTAAATTAGAACATTGATGAGACATAAACTTCACAAGTATGAATTGGTTCAGTTAGCCAATTTATGTTGTGATGAAGTAGAGGAGGCAAAATCTCTTATTCCAAGGAAAGTAATTCAAAAATAATTACAATTTGATATTAATTTGATAGAACTAACGATTTCGTCTATTTTCAATAAACTATTAGTTTATGTAAGAAATCAGATGAGGAAATACGTTCAATGCTTGATGATATCGGGCAATTGAAAAAATTCCAGACTTGATTTAATTTGGATTTTCGATACCTATAAATAATGATTTATTTTATATTTACTATGTATCAATTTCATATATACTATAGATATTTTACGCCTATTTATGATTCATGTGGATTTTAAATTAACATGCGTCATGTTAGAATTGATTACGGCTGGAATATTACATAACTACAATATAGCTGATGATAAACTGTCTAGATCCATAGAGAAACTACGATAATAAAAACAGATAGTTATTTTTACCTTATTATAATATAGGTTTGGTGATAATGTTAGTAATAATGTTAGTGGGTTATACCAAATTTTTGCGCAGAGATATTTTCTGTCGCGGATGAGCGTGAAATCGGATGATGGTGAAATTTGGGGTCTCAGTTTGAAAATATAAGCATTACCAAAACCTACCTATACTCTTTTTATTAATAACTCTGACAAAAAAGACCCCAAAAAATTTAAAAAATCGTACATAAAATAGATTCAAATTTCACCATCCGATTTCACGATCATTCGCGACATTTTCGAAGTGTTACTGAGATTAGCGTGTTAATTCGCCTATTTTATCTATTTCATTTATCTAGACATTCCCAAATAGTGAATAATCCAGAATTGCATTTGCTTTGTGATCCGGATAAAACCTACTTTATTTTTACTGTATTTGTCTAAATTATAACCCCTTAAGTTACTTAATAAGTTACTACGTATAAGTGCCGCATGGAAAAACGTGTGTGTAACATTCCCGATAGCTGATAATCAACTACGCATAATACTCGTGGAAACTTTACATAAAGGCAAAGATGGGTAGGTAAGTAGGTAAACATGGGAATAACTAACATAAAGAGAATAACAACACACTTATAAATACAAAGTGATTTGACTCGTCTAAAAAAAAAAATAAAAAAAAAACTCTTCTACCTTTCTCACCTAATTCACTTTGTATTAAAAAAAAATGCCAAACACCGAAGTTTCAGAAAATCCTGTAGTTCTTGATTCTTCAAAAAAACGAAAATTGAGTGTTGCTGACACTGTTTCAACTATACCAACAGCAGACTCTTCGAAATTACGTGTTAAACGTCTTAGCGAAAAAGCCAAATTACCATATCGCGTTTCACCACAAGCTGCTGGTTATGATTTGTACAGGTATATATAAAGGTTCTTAATTGTCTTCATTACTTGGTATCGATAGAAACGTGCAAATACGCAACCACCATCTTATTATCTCTACCTTATTTGTAAAGTGCTGTTGAAATGGTTGTTCCGGCTAAAGGAAAAGCTTTGATTAATACCGACATATCTATCGCACTTCCTGAAGGAACTTATGGACGTGTCGCACCGAGAAGCGGTTTAGGTAATTTTTTTTTTTTACAAAAATTATCTATGCATTACGTAAGACGTGTCTAAAATCACGTGAACTTTAAAGCATTGAAACATTTCCTTGACTGTGGTGCTGGAGTAATCGATGCTGATTTTCGTGGGCCAGTTGGCGTCCTCCTGTTTAACTTTAGTGATGAAGATTATAAAGGTATGAACTGTATTTATGCGTCTTGAAAACAATTGAAACTTTAATTAATTCAAAATCTATGTTATAGTTAAAGAAGGTGAACGTGTTGCACAATTGATCCTCGAAAGAATATATACTCCTGAAGTTGTTGAAACAGATGTAAATATTTATTTTGTAGCTCATTTAAAATCGTATAAGATGCGTTTTTAAATTTTAAATTAATTTCAGTTTTTGGAATCGACTGACCGCGGAAGTAACGGATACGGATCGACTGGTGAATTTTAGCGATTAATCAAACTATAATCTGAATTTTCAAATAAAAATTTCAAACTTTTAATTGCTAATATGATAATATAAAAAAAATGAAATAACGATAACAATTAAAAGTATGTCTGATTTATCGAATATTGTCAAATTGAGACAAGTCATGCTCATCCTATAGTATTTCCGGTATTGTTTATGATCAAACGAGTCGATATCTAGCCGAAAAACTTTGAATTATGTTCTTTAATTTATTCGGCATCTTACTATGATTTGCTTATCAAATAAATTATCGGATACTAGGGACTTTAAAATTTTCGATTAATCGGCTAATTTCAAACTTATTCCAATTTCAAAATTTGATTATACTCAGTGTTGCCCTTAACGTTAATTTTTGATCTATTTATGTGTCGCGTAATTTTTCGATTTAAAGTTAATACATAAATCGTAAATTTATAAATAAAATGTTATTTTATGATTAGTATAATTTTGCAAAATGTAAAAATTTTTAGATTTGCATATTAAATTTACGCATGAACGCTGCTTTGTGCTTTGATTGCATAAAATTTCAAGCAAAGAATGAAAAGAGTTACCACTTCTCATAATACATATTCGCATTTTCTTGTTCATAATCAATTGTTTCTTTGATAACTGCAGGTTTTAGCAGTGGTGTTACGAACAGTTTTGAACAAAACAATAAATTAAAATTTTTTAATTAAAATATAAGAAAATTTCTTAATTTACACCAGGTGTATGTATATACACACATACGAATTTATTGATTTACGAATTTGTTTATTATATAATTTGTAAACGAAAAATTAGTATAGTTTAAGGTTAGGGTGAGGGTAGCTTTAGGGTTAGAGAAGGTTATAGTTTATACTAAAATTTTGCAAGGAATCTTTTTTGTTAGA